TTTTTTACTCAAACTTTACATAAACGTTAAGATACAAAATATACCCAAGAAAATCTTACCACAAATAATCTACAAATTCAAATCAATCCTCATCAAAATCCCAACACAATTCTTCACAGACTTTGAAAGAACAAACAAACTCAACTTCATATGGAAAACAAAAAACCCAGGATACCTAAAAAAATCCTATACAGTATAAGAATTTCTAGAGATATCAACATTCCTGACTTCATGCTCCACTATAGAGCTACAGTAATAGAAACAGTTTGGTACTGGCATAAACACAGACACATGGATCAATGGAATTGAATCGAAGAACCTGACATGAATACACATACCTATGAACACCTAATTTTTGACAAGGAAGCCAAGATTATACAATGGAAAATGAAAGCATTTTTAACAAATGGTGCACTCATAACTGGATGCTAACATGTAGAATATTTCAAATAGATCCACTTCTATCACCATACACAAAATTCAAGTTCAAGTGGATCAAAGGCCTCAACATAAATCAAGTTACACTGAACTTGATAGAAGAAATAGTGGGAAATAGCCTAAAACACATTAGCACAGAAGACTACTTCCCGAATATAACACCAGTAGTGCAGACAGTGAGATGCAAAATTAATAAATGAGACCTCTTGAAACAGAAAAGCTTCTGTAAAGCAAAGGACACAGTCAATAAGAAAATAGCAGCCTTCAGAATGGGAAAAGATATTCACATCTGACAGAGAGTTGATCTCCAAATATATAAAGAACTTAATAAACTAGATATCAAAATACCAAATAATCAATTAAAACATTGGGTACAGATCCAAGCAGATCTCAGCAGAAGAATGTCAAATGGCTTATACATTTAAGGAATTGCTCAACACCCTTGGTTGTCAAGGAAATGTAAATCAAAACTACTCTGAGATACCATCCTACACATTATGGAATTGCTGACATCAAATCACTATTTACAGCCTATGTTAGAGAGGATGTGGAGTAAGAGGAACACTCCTCCACTGTAAATTGTATAGTCTCTTTGGAAATCCGTTTGGCGGTTTCTCAGAAAATTGGGAATTGATCTACCTTGAGATCGATTGATACTACTTTTGGGCATATACCCAAAGGATGCTCAATAATTCCACAAGGACACTTGCTCAACATGTTCATAACAGCATTATTCATAATAGCTGGAACCTGGAAGCAACCTAGATGCTCCTCAATTAAAAAATGAATAAAGAATATGTGGTACATTCACACAATGGAGTATTACTCAATGGTAAAAAAGCAATAACATTATGAAATGTGCAGACAAATAGATGGGACCAGAAGAAAAATCATCCTGAATGAGTAAGGCAACCCAGACACAGAAAGACAAACATAGTATGTACTCACTCATAAGTGGATATTAGATATAAAGCAAAGGATAACCAGACTACAATACACAGCTCCAGAGAAGTTAGGTAACAATGAGAATCCTAAGAAGAACTGGGATTGCCCTGGGAAGGGGAAATAAATGAGATCTCCTAGGTAAACTGGACCCAGGTAGGGGATTGGGAAGGGAGGGATGGGGAATGGCTGAGTTGCTGGAGGGCTGTAGTGGGAGCAATGAAAGAGATATCTTGATAGAAGGGGTCATTATTGGGTTTTAGAGAAATGTAGTGCCAGGAAAACTTCCGGGAAACCCCAAGGATAACCTCAAATAAGGAACAATGGAGAGAGTGCCTGAACTGGCCTTTTGTAGTCAGATTGGTGACTAGCCTAATTGTCATCATAGAACCTTCACCCAGTAACTGATGGAAGTAGATCCAGAGATCCATGGGCAAGGACTGCAACACTATGGGAGTCCAGTTGAAGAGAGGGAGGAGTGACTATATGAGCAAGTGGTGGGAGGTCAAGATCATGACAGCAAAACCAATAGAGACAGCTGACTTGAGGATGTGGAGTTTACAAACTCTGGACCAACAGTTAGTGAGCCTGAATTGGACTGACCTAGGCACTCTGTGGGTGACATTTGTGAAGCTTGGTTTGCTTGTGGGGCCCCTAACATGTCCCTGGCACATGAGCTTGATTTTTAGAACCTATTCTTTATTGTGGGATGCCTCACTCAGTCTTGATGCAGGGTGGAAGAGGTTGGTCCTGCCTCAACGTATCACATGCCATTTTTTGTTGACCTGCATGGGAGGACTTACATTTTCTGAGTAGTGGATGTGTAGGTAGAAAGAAGGTTGGGGGAAGGAACAAGAGAAAAGGAGGGAGTTAAAGCTGTGGTTAGTATGTAAAATAAAAAATTAATAATAAAAAGATACAAAATCCAGAAATGTTATGTTACAATGTAAGTTATACAGTGGCAATTATTGGTACCAGTTTGTGAACAAAACTAGATTTGATTTTCTGAAATCTAGAAATAAATTTATATTACTGCAATCAAGATGTAGTGAATTTTCAAGAGTTTACTGCACAACTATTCATTATCCATATAAGTTCATCTGAAAATAGTGTGAGTAATTGGAAAACTCTTTTTCAGATCAACCTGAAGTGAAGCTCGCATTTAAAGTTTTAGATTCTGAGAGGAAACATTGTTTGAAATCAAGTAGGATGGACAGGACAAAAACTGGATTTGTAATCCAAAAGAGCACTTAGTAGCATGAATTAACACAGGAAATGAGGCTTGCCTTTTTCCTAGATGTCTACCTTGAATTTGACACGAAGCTCTTTTCCTAGCACCTGTTTTCTTTGAGTCTCACAGGGCTCTACTAATGCTTTCTTTCTACAGTACATGTCACCTGCTCATCATCTTCATAGTATTCATGTGCTCTGTTTGTGTCGTGTATCTTTTCCAGTTAGAATATATGTTTAATGATTTCAGGTCAGTTTGTCTATTTGCTCCCAATTTGGACCTTTCACAATTAAAACCTCTCTCATTTTATCCTTTCTTCTCATGTCATCTGTACCTACTTTGTTGGTCCAAGGTCCAGGGGCCACCCCAAAAATATATATACTATTGCTGTTATTTTAGATGCTTCACTTACTTTGGATATTGAGGTTAAGTCCCTATTTCCTAAGAAACTTCTTACACAGGACTCAGTGGAATCAAGAAGAATTTTATGAAGAAATCTTATCTTTGAGAACTAACTTTCTACCAATAGTTGCTAATTAACTGCAAAGGGAAAAAGCAATCAATATTCTTTCCCAAATGTGGTGCCTGAAAAATCACAAGAATGATCAGTACAAAAAGATATCCCTAAATCTACAATAATGACACATCTATCTTTGCAGGAAGCAACTACTCTCTAAATGGGTTCAGGCCTAGACAATAGGAGGGAAATAATGTCTATACTAGAATCATAGCCAACTGCCTTGTATCTCAGAGTAAAACATAATACTGCCTATTTCTTTTCTCTTTTTTCTTTTTTTAAATTTAAATTATAAACAAGCTTGTTTCACATGTCAATCCCAGATCCCTCTCCCTCGGGTCCTACCCTGTCCTCCAGTATTCCCTATCCCATCCTCTTCTGCTCCCAAATGATGGTGAGCCCTTCCATGGGGGATCTTCAAAGTCTGTCATATCATTTGGAGCAGGGCCTAGGCCCTCCGCCTGTGTGTCTCTATATGCAATGGGCTCCCAAAGTCCATTTGTATACTAGGGATAAATACTGATCCACTGCTAGAGGCACCATAAATTGCCCAGGCTTCCTAATTGACACCCACATTCAGGGGGTCTGGGCCTGTTTTTCCAGCTATAAGTCTGGGGTCCATGAGCTCTCCCTTGTTCAAGTCAGACTGGTTTCCCCAGTCTGGCCTTGACCCATTTGCTCATCACTCTGCACTGGGGTCAATAACATTGATGACCAAACAAGACTTGAAGCATTCCAGTAGGAGGTAACACCCAAAAGTACATGGCAGAAATCTCAATGGGCTCTAATTCTAGCTGAAGAGCTACTTTAAACTAATCACTCCTGAGAGGAATAATTAGTCTTCTTCAGGGATGAGCCCCTTAATTGGTTATCTGTCTAATAGGTCTGTCCTAGAGAGAGAAATACAATAACATTTAACATTTAAAAGACTCAGCAGTCTCTCTCTCTCTCTCTCTCTCTCTCTCTCTCTCTCTTGTGTGTGTGTGTGTGTGTGTTCAACAAAAGATAATAATAGAAAAAGAGACTATGAAATTGAGGAGATGTTGAGGTGAATGGCAGGGGTGGGGAGAGGAGATGGGCAAATGATGCCATCATATTTTTCTTTTCTTTTTTATTTAAATTAGAAACAATCTTATTTTACATAGAAATCCAAGTTCCCTCCCTCCCATCCTTCCATGCCCCCCTGAAAACCTCCCCCATCCCACACTCCATCCACTCCTCAGGGAGAGTGTGTCCTTCCATGGGAGATCATCAAAGTCTGTCACATCATTTAGGGCAGAGCCTAGGCCTTCCCCCATGTATTTAGGCTGGTTTCACTGCAAGAGGCTCCATAGACTGCCCAGGCCTCTCAAGGGTCACTCACATTCAGGGTGCCTGCTTCAGTCCTATGCTGGTTCCTCAGCTGTCTGGCTGGTTGTGATGTCATCATATTTTAATTAAAATTTAAATGCATAAAAATTGATGACACTTAAGTATAGTGAATTTTCACAGTATTTGATTTGTTTGCTATAAAAATCAGCTCTTAAAATCAGCTTTCATAAAAGTATTGAGTCTTTTTCAGTTCTTAGTAGAATGAATGAATTATGGTATCACTCTTTGCTTCAATATGATGGTAAACTTCGAATTACCTTACTTGCAAGCAAAATTTCAGTTAATTATGACAAATTGTGTTATAGACAGCCAAATGCTATTGATAAATTTTGTATTACATTAGCAGAAGAAAGGTTCAAAATTGGATTTTTAGACATTATCTTTTTAAATAGTCAACATTTATTCAAGATAAAAGAATCCATCATGTCCAAAAGTTATAAAACATAATTTTCCAAAAGAAAAAGTTTTGAAAAATCATGTCAAAATTGAATGGATATGAAGTTAACAACCACGGGCATAGGCAAACTGGCACTTCAGGAGCTTTAGATTGGAATCAATCTTCTGAGAATCCCTCTTCAGGCACTGAAACAGACTACTGAGTGCAAAAACACGAAGGTCCTCATCAGATGACTGCAAGGATGCCAGTCCTTTCCAGAAGGGGTACTCCTCAAATTCTTTGAATCCAGGATAAATCTAATCACCAAAAGGAAAGTACCTTATTATTCATTATTATTTACTGTTCTTTATTCATTATAATCGTGAATGAATATTTGGGGAGAAGTCAGGATTGTAAGTTTTTATACAAAAGCATGGAATCTAATGTAACCAAGTAAGAGTAGTGGCAATGCATTTGCCTCAAAACTACAAGAGAGACCCATGGATATATTTCCTGCATGCAGTAGATTCCAGATTATGTATGTTCTTACATATAAGGCAGATGGAGGTGCAGGAAATTCCTAATTGCCTGTACACATAGATTTTACCAAGGGACAATGTAGGACCTAGTGCCACTTTTGTCATGGAGGAGCTTAAACATGCCTTCAGTATTGGCCCTGACTTACTGTCTACACTTTCCTAATCTTGAAGAAAATCATTGCCCTTTTCTATATTTCAACTGAATCTCTTGCTGAAGAATTTATGGAATGAAAATCTTAGTTTTGGTGAGGACTGTATCTGATGCTTTCAGGTGCAAATCACCTAGGGATTTTTGTGATGTAGAGAGCTAGTGATGTTGTTGTGAGTCCTTTGCACTACTACAGAAAGATAATTTCTCAAAGAACTATGAAGAGCATGTATTTTGTATAGAGATTCTTGAAATATGGAATACTATATCCTAGAGAAGTGTCATGTTGCTAGTAAACCCTTAAAAACAAGACTTCCCAAAAGACTAGCTGACTAAATTTTGCTTTTTCAAATGTCTTATTATAGGACTCCTCTGTTTAATGTCCAAGAAAAGCAGAGGAACTTAAGAAGACTACAAACCTTTCCAAGTATTCTCCGAATGCCTTCTTGCAGGCCAACCATTGCTGTCCCTACAATGTTGGCTCTTGCTATGATTGCAGTAGGGGCTTCTTCCATACGACCCAGCTCAGTCACTACATGATCCAGAGGGTCTTTCCAAGCTCCCAACATGGTGAGAATCTCTTGAAGAAGGAATATACCCTACACAATCAAAATTGAACAATTATATTAAATTTTCTGAAATACAGCAGTGTTAGTACTTCATGTGACATTTGCTCAAAATAATTCAAAAAAGAAGCATGTGTTAATATACTTTCAGGAAATGATTCTGTAGATGGTACATGCTATATAAATGTACAACTCAGCCATTGATCTGTAGTTTGATTGAATCACACTAAATATGTCTTATTTGACTACTATATATCCTTATAATAAATATAGTTGATAACATTTCGTTTTCCTCTGAGATTTTACAATCTAACCTCATGGTCAAAAGAACAGTTTTTGGTTTCTTTACTTGTCCACAAAGAATAGAGAAGGAGCAGGAATTGAACAAATGGTCATAGAACCACATTCACATAAAACTAATGCCAACATTTCAGTGGCAAGTGACCCAAATCCTTTCACACAGGATTTATTATACAGTAAATTACACATTATTCATTGATTCACTCATTTATTAATTTTAGATTATTTGAATAACTTATAACAAGTATCCAATGATGTACACTTGAACTTGATATTTTTTTCTTTCATCAGTCTATATTGAAGGCAGCTGAGGAGCCAATATTTAAACATTAATAGATAAAAATTTGAACACCATAGCTTTAATTAAGATAACTGATGGAAAGACTGGATAGATGGCACAGAAGTTAAGAATACTGCCTTTGTTCTTCCAGAAGATGCAGGTTTAGTTCCTAATAGCCACACATTGACTCATTGACATATGTCACTGCCTTTGTTGGAGACTTTATACCTTCTGGTCTTCTCAGACATGAGGAACATATGTTGTACACATAAATGCATCCAGGAAAAACACATTATATAAGTTAAAAACACTTTTTTTCCAAAAAGTGGGATTGCTCCCCCTTCCTTCATTCTTCTGCACGTGTGATTATACCACACTGACTAATGTCAATATCAAGCCAGTGGACTGCTTAATTCTTTGGGTTAAAGCACAAGCTGAAGACTCACTTTGATCTGTTTTGTTTCCTCTTCAGGCAGCAGAATAGCAAAGGTGGAAGTATGGCAGCTGCTTTGGGCCCCATCAAGGTACCACCTCCCTGGCTTGTATTGTATATCCTGCAACTAATGAAAAATAACGAGTTATCTTAAATTTGGAAATGAATAAATTCATATAGAGGAAGAATTTTAATCCATTTAATGGGCGTATAATTTTTTAATCTCTGTGTGTGTCCTATGTTTGTGTGATTATTTGTGTGTGTGTGTGTATGCTTACATATTTCTTGTGTATTAGTGATCTTCTGTGTGCATTAAGGTATAAATGTAACAACCAGAGCACCTCATGTGTTTTAGCTTGATTTCCACCTATGTTGAAACAGTCTCTTGTTGTAGACCACTGTGCAAATAGCCTAGTTGACCAAATAAAGGTCAGGGGTTCTCAATGTCTCCCATCTCTCTGCAGAAGTGAAGGGTTTCAATGATTGTTTGGAAGACTCTGCCTCTTGCACTTGTTTATTCATTGGTGCATGTTCTTGCAATTAGATGTGTAAATAAAGATGTGTAAAAAAATAAAGAATGAACACCTAAATAATAAATAAGAAAGTCAACTTTTTACTTAATTTTTAAACCACTGGATATGTGGTCTCATTTTCTTTCTGTCTAGCATTTCAAATTCTTCCCTTCATAGATATAATCTTTGAAATTCCAAGAAACTCTTTCCTTCTTAATGTATTCAGTTGCTGATGGTTTCTTTGCCTATGAAATTTGTTTCATTATGCTATTGCATTTACCCTTTAGAGGAATCCAGTCACTGGCATGAATGCTCCCATTAGAAAGAAAGCAGAAGAATGTAAGATACTTACAAAGTTATTTAACATTTCATCAGTTTGATTTTTGATTTCATGAGACAGGCTCAGGGCATAATCAAACATGTTATTGAGGTTCCCCTGGCAGGAACTATCCCAGCTGGGGCATAAACGTACAGAGACCACATTCTTCCACAAGACCAGGTTTGACACCAGCAGCATCAGGAGTGTCCCTGCTAAAGAAAAGGAGGTGTCACTTGCATCGACCTAGTGTGACTATAGAAAGTAATCCTATGGAGGAAACTTTGTCCATTTCTGGGGCTTTCTGCATGATTCGCTTGTACAACAGTAGTGGAGAATAAACCTCTTGCACTGTGTACTTGTAGGTCCATAATTATCTTTACAATCATAGTTTGGAAGTGGGTGACTGTCTTCTTTTGGGATTGACCCTAGAAATTTCTCTGAATGTTATAAACACTAAGAGCTCATAGTAATTGTGACTGAGCATTTTAAATAAGTCTCTTCAGATGGTTTGATATTTGGGGAACTTATGCTTATTTCCAGTACCCACTCTCAATAAATTTGTAATATTTTAAACTCAATTTGGTCCCTAATGTTTTAAGGACAGCATAGGTCATCAGTTTGCTTCATTTGCATTCTTGATGAGAATAACCACATGACTGATGGATTTCTAACACCAAGGTTGAAGACAATCTTATCATGAAAGTGATCCCATATCTCAAATTTGATAATATGCAGTAAAAACTCATGCATATAAGTGTCACATGTTTTATTTATTTGTAGATCTGGATCTTTGTATTTGATCATGTAACCTGGAGTATCCAAGGAAGTCAGGGAGGTAGAAAGGGGACATTAGGGTGTGGAGGAGGAAGGAGCTCTAATAGAAATGCATATTAGAAGATGGTTGCTATGAAGTGGGTTATGGGAAAATAAGTCCAACTTTAATAGAGAGGAGAGAATGATAATATAGAGGGAGAAAGACAGAGTGATAAAAGTAAGGATGTTTTAAAAAGGCATATGTTAAGATATCATTTTATAAGACACACAGATATATGATGCTAGATACATACATATACAGATACATAGATAGATGATAGATAGATAGATGGACAGATATAATAGATAGATAGAAATAGAGAGATGGAAAGACAGATGAGGGAGTGAGTTATCCCACATAAGCAATAGTAGGTTACATTATAAATATTTATGCACAGAAAAATACCTAAACTCACATATTCAAATTAAAATGTACTATAAAACAGTGAATTATGCAACATAAACAAACACCTTATTTAAAAATTTACATTAAATAGTTAAACTTCGGTTTCATTTTCTAAAACTAATACTTTCAAAAACTGATGTATTCAATGTAATTTTTACATGTAATACTTATAAATTCATATATATGAATTTATTTTATATTAAATTCTATTTCCTCAAAAATTATGCTATTTCTATGTATAAAGAAAAGACAGTTTGTTAGTCTTACCCCATTCTTCTTTCTGTAGTGAAATTTGTCATATACAAAATTCATAAATAGTGTATGAATTAAATCTGCTATCAGTGTCTACTTAGGTTTCAGAGCTGAATGTTCCTGAGTAGATTACAGTGAGTAAACTCAAGCATAAGACCATGAAACCCAAAAGTATTTCTTCTATCCCACATGAGTGAGAGGAACTGGATGAAATTAATCTGATATCTTGTGCCCCCAATAAAGTCTAATTTCTCAATTTCAATGACAGTGACTGCCTGAGCTGTGATATTCCTATACTCATTCACCAGAATATATACACTATTCATTAATCAATTTAAAAAGTATCAGTGATTTCTATCCATTAGAAACTCATAATAAGGTCCCCTTTCTTCCCTCACTTTAGTTAAGAAAACCCATTATGTGTGTGGATATTGTCACATGTGTCCAGAAGGAGGCTTACAATGTTTAAGGGCTATGGTTGAAAGTGTTGGGCCTAAAAAGACTTGGATGCAAAGCCCAGTGTAACCTCCTGAGCCTGACATGAGTTTAAGGCTCAAATGTGAGGCCCAGTGCACTCTTCTGAGCCTGGCTAGAGTTTAGAGACCTGTCTCTGGCCTGTAACTTCCTCGTAGGAGTGACTCAGAAAGGCCTGATGTAAGACTGCCTACTGCCTAGCTACCTGCCAGCTTGGTGGAATACTATTGGCCCTTACTCCTCATGTTACCTTACCCCTTCCTAAGATTCCCATCTCCTACCTCAGACCTATTTAAGTTCCTGCCTTTTGGAATAAATGGAGATCCTGCTTAGACAAGTCTCTTGACTCAGTGTATATTTTTCCTGGTAACTAGGAGCAGGGAGGGTCTGAGTCCTCAATACTCACCATCCCCCAGTCCCAGGAAGATATAATTGGACAGGCCCTTCCTCAGCTCTACCTGACAAGGAGCTGGAGGAGCCGGAGAAAGACACCTTGTGCCCTCATGCAGTTATTCTCTAGAGAAATGATTGTAAAGCTCTTCTAAATCTGGTACTATTTTATATATCATGAGATGTGAATAAATCTGTAGTCAGTCCAATAAGACTTCAGTAAATGCAAAGAAAGGATCTCATTCATGCACGGGTAAGAGATTACTTACAGGAATGTGGCTGAATCAAAGTGAACCGCATCTTTGAAAAGTTCCCCTTTAGTTTGTTGCTGAATAGTGAACAATGATTCACCACACTTTTACCTTTAGTGAGCTTTCAACCTCTTACATATACTAGCAGATTGCCCCCAAGGCAACACACATCATGTGTCAGAAGGAAGGAAGTTCTAGAGGTTCCCATGACTCTCCTCCTTAGGGAATTTTAACAGTAATCACCACAGACCTAATTATGTCTGCATTGCTTTGCATACTTTTATTCTGTATTTAGATTGTAAAATCCATATTTTCTCTAGATGCTGGGTGGTCATGTTAGTTTAGATAGAATTCAATCATTTAACACATTTCCTCGCATTCCTCATGTTCTTAGGCTATTTCTGTCTGCCACAATGGTTCCTTTGTGTTTTAGAGGATTATATAGGTATCTGATTCTTTTTATAGCACTGGGTTACAACGGCACAATGACTACCAGTTTTCTCAATATTTTCAGTACGTAGGAATAGCTTCAAGTAACCACAAAATACTGTAAAGATTATCTCTGTACACACTAGGGTAATAGCCATAGAAATCTAGTGGCCCAAAGACAAATGTTTTATATGCAACATAATAGGCCCATAATACTCATTTAACAACAACAACAACAACAAAAAAGATCAGGAACGTACATGCTGGAGTCTACTACCTTCCCAAAAACATGTTCTTTCAGTCTTACAAAACAAAACATGGTTTTCCTTCTGGGTATCTGAGGACAAATCAATTAAAAATGGTTTGGTTGCATGTACAGATTGTGTCATCACTACACTACTGACCACTTCTTGCTAGGGTTGCTGATGAACCAAACAAATCACCAGGTAGAATCATTTGTGACAGCTGTGTCTGATAAGCCAGTATGGCACCTTAAGCCACTATGAAAGCCATTTAATGTGGAAAGGGCTTCTAGATCATTTTAAGTCTTATTTTTCCTTATTGCAGGAACAAAGTGTGTTTCATTCACTAATAGGTTCTTACCTGATCCCATGTTTAACCATAAGTAACAGCAACAGTCTATATTACATGAGTCCTCAGTAGTTTCTTTTTCCACAACTCCAAGAGGGAAAACCATTCTAGACCTTGGGATTTTAGTCAATAATTTAATGACTACCAGACACACCATTCCAACAGACAAAAGGTTCTTTCTTCAAAATTCTATTGCTGTCTGTATTGTTCTTCTAGATGTTTTTCTAAATCAGCAAGCCACAAAGAGGTTTGCATTGTATAATTAACATTTAATAGAGCCTGACAAGCTTCAAAAGAGTACAAATTATCTCAAGTACTCAGCATCTAAAAGAATACTGAAAAACCTTACTGAGGTCTAACAAAACTTGGAAAAAGTACCAAGCTTAGTTGCACTGTCCCCTGCAAAGGGCAGGATAGATTAGAAACACACTTTATTCGTATTTACCTTTTAGTCTCCTCATCCTAGCACATTGCATGAGGCTGCCTTCTAGGCAAAGGAGACTCATCTGGGGTATTATTGACGTTGTCATGAGACATGGAAGAGTGCTGTTTCATTTTTTTTCCTGCCATATGTACTTTTACTACAGCTGGCAGTTTTCTCAGTCTCTGACTTGCATTGTAGCTATTGACTGTTTGTTGATAGCAAATCTTAAAGGTCCCATGCCTGGGTGAACAATTTCTTTCTCCACAGACTCCTATGTGATACAGCAATAGTGTTAACCCTCAAACTCTCCAATTGCTATTGTAGTAAGTGTCACTAAAGTATAATAACTTTGAGTACACATATTTTCAGGGGAGAAAAACATACATACTACTCTCTGATACAGGGATGATATGTATACCTAAAACTAACATAATACTTTTCACCTTTTCTGCTTTATGGTTTGCCTGTCCATTTTGCCCATTTCCCTGGATGTTTAGGAGGTATCTAGGATATGGTTATATTCATGCTGCCAGTCACAAAAGCCCAAAATGCATGCACATTAGAAGGAAACCCAAAAAAGAAAAATCTGATTCAATATCTGGTCTCCCTAACATTATTTGGAGGTACTGTTGGTCACTCTTTTTTATTTAAATTAGAAATAAGCTTGTTTTACATGGATCTTACTGCAGTTGTCCACACCCAAACATAACTTTTCTTATTTCCACAGTACCAGGTTTAGTTAGAATCAGTGACCCTACATCTGACACTTCAGGTATCTTGTATTCAGATTTCAATGAAGTCTTGGGCTTCATGGATATACCATGTTATCTAGCCCCCTGTCAACATTTTATTTATAATTGATGAGTTATCCTTAGCTCAGTTCTTCCCACATTTACTTTTCAGCCATATCCTTTATCAGCTTTGGTTTTCTTCAGTACATCTTGATTTCATTAATGTTCAGATATGCCAAACCACTGTAGTCATGATTTCATGGTGACTCTCTGACTGAGCAGGATATGTTCTAAACACAGAAACTTGTATGAGCGCTCTCCTTTAGTCTATTAGGCTGTCCACTTTTTATCTTAAAATTTTGAGTGTTCATGAAATTTGTAAAAATTGGGATCTGAGTCTGAAATATAAAAATGGTAAGAAGTTTTCACCCTCTTCCTGTCAAAGGAAAGGTTCTAACAACAAGAAGTCTACCAAGTCAAAAATATGTGAGGATCTTACTTGTCACAAAATATGTGTCTATAGTTAACACGCACACATGGGTTAACCATCTATTAACCCAAAGTTACAATCCAATGATCTAGCTTATGTCTTATAGTTTTCTACAATTATGGGACAACCACAGAGATGGTTGTAAAGATAAAATGATTCTTTTCTGGCTTCTTTCAGTTTAACCTGAATGCAAATTAAAGAAACAAAAAATTCCATTTTCCTTTCCAATTTCACTTTCCTTATTTGTTTAAAAATAAGGACCTGAATGCTCAGGTACACTCCTGACAGAAGCAACCCAGTAAGAAAACTGCAGGATTATACGGAAAGAAAGGAAATTCTTAGTGGCCAGGAGGACATTTGCAGTAGTCTGACCCTTAATTGTCATTTGAATGCAAGTGCACCTTGATTAGTTTATGATGAAGATGCTCTCTATTTCAACCTGTGTTGTTTGTAAGGAGTACACTGGTTCTTCAATTTCATGATAATGAAACCATTAAGGCATTGCTGAAGGAGTGACAGGTCTTGTGACAGGAATTTCAGATTATATTTGACAGAAAACTCAATTTGTTACTTATTCTATATAGTATGTTTTGGCATTTGTATGTTTTCATTTTGGCTAAATAATTATTTTATTTTCATGTTGGAAGCATGAAAGCCATTTATATTTATATTGGGTGCTATAATATTAGGTAACATAATGTAAACTGTCTCCAATATCCATGGCTTGAATACTAGTTTAATGCTACCTTTCATGCATTGTTAAATAAACATCAGAGGGTTAAAATCCTAAGAATACTTGTACATTAGTTTTAAGATTTGAAGAAATATTTTAACATCTCTATTTTAAGTATGGGAAATACTATATCTACTCTCTCTTCTTGGTCTCTAAATAGAATTCTGGGTAATGAATCCATTTGAAGATCCAAGAGTGTGCCCTTTGATTTAATGTAACATTTTGTGTGCTGTTTTGTTCATTAAGGTGTTAATAATAACTGGCTTGATGAATACTCAAAATCTGATGGATAAAACTTGTGTCATTAGAGATTCACATACAGGAAGATGGCCTAGACACCAAAGAGAACAAAGAACTGTATTATTTGGCCAATTTCAGATGAATCTAAGTGATTTAAATTTTTGAGAGTTTGGGGTATTAGGATATATAAATTAAAGCATTCCATAAGGAAGCACACCTGAAGAACATAACCATTTTCTGGTTGGAAAGAAATTGTGTTACTCATATTGGAGGTTACCTTGAGCATTTGTCACCATATACTAAAAGATGCATATACTAACACCCTTCATTTTGCAGGATTTTGGAAGAAGAGTGTATATCTGACCCATTGGTGACATTCTTAGAAGGAATCAACACATGTTACATAGTATTAGCCACAACCATTACTGTACAATGAAATATTGCTTCATCTACCACAATTCCTTTTTAACCTAATGTATTATGTGTTATGATAGTTTGAATGTAATTGGCCACTCCCATGAGCTTGTGGGGGCCAATAATTATTCAGAGGAGAATAATTTTGGTACGATGCTATGTGATCTTTCTTGTGTTATTTTGGCAAAAAAAGTAACTGCTTTTTGTCCACATTCTAAGAATCTGCCTAAGACTAACGTGAAGATATTTGGCAGAATCAATCTCAAAACAGTCTAGTTTTGACTCTTTTGTGTGATAACTAGTGATCATGCTTATAACGATTTATAATGAAAAAGGATCAAGTTTAGGAAGGAAATATACAAAATGTAGAATTTGAGGAGAAGAGGAGCACCAGAAAGTAGAATAGAACTAAGTTTTGTGTTCCAGGAAATAGGGAAAGAATTGGACTAAAGAGAGCAATGACTTAAGGGTTAGATTCCACGCAACTAAATTTATAACATGTGAAAAGGAATTAAAGAAAAGATTAAAGCCAGGTTTTATGGTGCATACCTTTAACCCCAGAACCAAGAAGGCAGAGGCTGGCAGATCTTTGAGTTTGAGGCTACCCTGGTCTACCAAGTAAGGTCCAGGATAGTCAAGTTTAGGCAATAAAGCATGGAAAACAGAAAGTTAGTAAAGATGTAATTGAATAAGGGAATCATGTAACAGGCCCAGCAAGCATCAGAACTTGGCAGGTTCAGTCATATAGTTCTGGCTTTAGAGTCAAGGTTTGAAGAAAGGCTTTAATCCTCTGTGATTAAAGAAAGCTACTGTGGCCAGGCATATGTCAAGGGTGTCCCTGAATGGAGGCCTAAGGAGGTCATTGCAAGAAGTTATAAAGTTGAAGCCAGGATTTCCTTGAAGACCCCAGGATCCTAGAGGTTCTACAGTTGTCAGATATCCTCAGATAGTTGGTAACAAAGAAAGGAATGTTCCTAAAAGAAAGCAATGTGTTTTAGTCACCAAAACTGAAAGGATTTGGCCATCTGAGGAGTGTTTCATCATCAGTCATGGAGATAGATAATTTGGAGTCTGCCCAGCTGGTTTTTGGCTTTGCTTTAGTTCAGTATTTCCTCACTATGCTTCCTTCCTCATTCTTCAGAAAGTAATGTCTATCATGTGCCATTATATGTTGGAAGTTTGTAATTTCCTTTTTCATTTTGATTTTATAGGTGATTACACTTAATAGATTGTTGGGTCCAGCCGACAAGTTTGCACATACCTGAAGAGGGTAGTGAGACTTGAGAAAAGAAAGAGACAAGAGACAGAAAATACAGTTGGGAGGGCACTCAGTGAATGCTGCAGACACCCCAAATTCACTATTCATCACCTTGTATACCTCAAGCGAAGGGGGGCGAAAAGACTTCCTTACTTGATATAAGAAATTAAAAAATGTAATCACTTTCTCAATACCTAAAACATCTATCACCAATCCCTGAGTCAAACATCCTGCAATTTGATCTTGAGAGTTAAGACATCCAGTAACCATATCTTAGGCCAATCTTCCTGTCATTCAAACTTGAGGAGCAAACATAAGTTTGAACTCTCTGACCTTTAGCGAAGTTGGAAAAGAGTTAATAACAATGGGCCCCAACAAGAGATTACATGAATCTCAGAAGAGAATTTGAACTTTGGACTTTAAAATATTGTTGAAACTGTAATAGAATATGGAGACTTTTGAAGTTGGACAAAATCCAATTTGTGTTATATCAATAATATTTGATGCTATATGGAAAACAATATATTTATTTACCAGAGAGAGAGAGAGTCGCACAAACCAGGAGTTACGAGCGTGGCTGGTTTCCAGGAGAAAAGGGAAATTCCTTTTCCTTTCACTTCCCTTTATATCTACCTGTGTCAGTTTACATATCCCCGCCCTCATGGGTGGATAGCTTTGTGGGGTTCACTCCTACAGTGTTATGATATGGTTACAAATTTTTATGGATCAAGA